GAGCTTCTCGCCGCGTGCGCGTTCGAGCTCCAGTGCGCGTGAGCGCCAGTTCCCTCTCAAGCGGTTCTGGCCGTTCTGGAAAGTTTATGTCTCGAGCGCAACGCGGTTCAGTGCAAGAGACGCGACGCGTCTGAAGTGGGGCGAGCGTCACACGCGGTGTGATGATGCGTGAGCCTGGCATGCGGGTGAATGAACGCTTACAAACACTCATTTATTGTCTGCACAGCCAGACGCGTTTCAGCACTTCCGGTGGACAGCAACACAAACTCTCCGTTGAGCGCGCGCACGCGATGGACAGGTCGGAGAGGCTGACGACTCGAACCTCGTGTTGTTCCGGAAGTCTGCATGTCTTGATGTAAACGTGCACTTGTTTTACCCTGCTGTGGCATGCAACACGTGATGTCCGGTTTAACTTGTATTTTGATACATCACTTTATAAAGCACACGAGAAGAGCTCTATATATTTGTACGTTATTGATTGTAATTTTTGTATCGTTGATGATTTTCAAGAGAGTATTGAAACAAATCTATCTTATAGGTTTTCATAAGTGATTGTATTCCACTTTCGACAGTAGAATGTGTTCGGTTGGTTCTTGGGAACCTGATGCGCTAACTATAGAGTATTTATTTAAAACTTCAACATCGTAGTTGAGTTGCAGTAGCACACTTGGATGTGCAGAATCACTTCCGGTTTCTTCTGGAATCGCTGTTGTCGTCTATTTGCCTTTGGAAACTGTTCTCGTGCAATGAAACGCTGTTACAGTAAATGCCTTGTGGATATTTGAGGCTATGAATGTTTCAAATAAAACTCTATTGATATTACTTTGTGTTTATGGTGATCTCTGAAAACTACATCCACACATCGGAAAGCGCAAGTTTGGGCACATTAGTGCTACTTTACACATTTTACAATAGTCTGTAACATCTAATTGAACTGGTTTTAATCAGGTGAAAAATATAATATTTAGTAGGCTATTAATGAATCAAACCAAGTAGGCAAAACAAAGTACATGAATTTATGCCAACAAAATAACATTTAATGGGTTAAATCAAATCTGCACCTTTTACGGTTAAGAATAAAATCATCAAAACTACGAAATATTAAGGTGTATGAGCACAATATAACAAAATAGTATATAAATAAACTAAGCTATGAATTTTTAATTTTCTACACAAGGAAAAAAACTCTAAAATAATAAAAAAAATCATACAGGAATTAAAACAAAAAGAAAAACGAATGAAGGAATAAAGTAAGCTCGTCATTGATGTAAAAATATTGTAAAATTAAGCTGTTTATTGCACATTTCCTAAATTGTATATTTCGTATTTCATACAGGCAAATAAAGATAAAGAAGGATAAAATAAACGTTAAAAATTGAATATAGATAAAGTTTTTTATATTATAAATAAATAATTTTTGATATTTTTAATATTGTACTTTTCCTATATTTCAGCGGTAACACTTTACAATAGGAACTGCATTTAATAATCTTTGTTGATGATTCATTTCAACATTTATAATACTTGATTAAAATCTTCTTAACATCATGAACAGCTTTAACCAAGGTTAACAAAGATGAACAAATACAGTAACAAATGTTTTGCTCATAATGTTAACTATTGGACCTTATTGTAAAGTGTTACCTTTTTAGCAATTAAACATTTCCCCTTATTGTTTTTCTATTAAACGCAGTCGCATAGGCTACTGTGAAATAAGATTCAGAGCTTCAGCACCACGAGTCATGTGGCCAGCGCCGCTCGCGCACAGGCGCGTGCCCGACGCTCGTGTGCACACCGGTGCGTGTTTCTTACCTCTTTTCTAACAGTCCTCCAGTAGTGACGTCAGTTGCTGCTCGTGCACGGACGGTCTTGGTGAGTTTTGCGGGTCTGTGGAAGACAGGAGAGACAGAGTGAAAGCACGGACGGGTTGGAGGAGTCTCGGTACCGGAGGACCGGCGGGTGTCACAGACAGACGGGGTCGGTGAGCATATAAACTCACCGTGATTCTGACATGATTAATGCCGCACATGCATTGCAATAACAGGCTGTGCTCGCGCTGCATGCTCATGGGTGATGCACGTGAAGTTATTGGGCTGGGTCGCGTGCACGATACACATGCCGATGCAAGACGAGAAGATATGATGACCGAATTCATTCATATGTTTCCTTACATTATATAACAACACAAACGAACCTTAAATGAGAAATAAATCGGCTCTTTGGGATGAAGAGTGTGATTTTCATGATTGATGTGCACATGCATATTTCTAGACTGTGTTTCTTAATCACGGTGTAAATGGAGCAAGACTCGGACAGCTTTTGTCTTCATCATATTCATGCGGAAATAACGCGGAGCGCGCGCACAGAGTCATGCATGAATTCCGATACGTCACTTAGAATATTTCACACACACACACACACACACACACACACACACACACACACACCCGCGCGCGCGCGCACAATTCACTTCATGTTTGTGAATCTGAACCGGTTGAACTTATGTTGAATATTTACATCGATATGACATCAATAATTATTCATTAGTTAAACTTTTAAATGGTAGTGTTTATTGAACAGATTATAACACACACACACACACACACACACCTGATGTCCTAGTAGACACATAATTAGATAAATGAACAAAGTAAAATAACAAACATCAAAGAAAGGGTGATAACACACTTTATCTTTACTTTCATATCTGTAACAAACAGATACATATACTGACAATTTAGAAGCACTTTAAACTTCAACAAATTGTGTTATCACTAGTGTATTTATAATTGATTGGATGATACTAAAGTTAGATGTTTCCTTTCTGTGTACCTTTTTCCTTTGCAGGTGCAATAAGTCTGCATGAGCCTTTTTGGACTAAAATGCTTCTGAGATCCTCCTGAAAGAATTCTGAAACAAACATAGCAGAAACTATAGTGAACTTCTCCTGAAACAAACACTATTGAAAATGCTACTGAAATAGCATGGATATGGATCAGACACAATTCTGAAATGCTCTGAAACATTACTGAAACACTATTGTAACATTACTGAAACACTATTGTAACATTACGGTAACATTACTGAAACACTATTAGAACATTACTGAAACACTATTAGAACATTACTGAAACACTATTAGATCATTACTGAAACACTATTAGATCATTACTGAAACACTATTAGAACATTACTGAAACACTATTAGATCATTACTGTAACATTACTGAAACACTATTAGATCATTACTGAAACACTATTGTAACATTACGGTAACATTACTGAAACACTATTAGAACATTACTGAAACACTATTGTAACATTACTGAAACACTATTGTAACATTACGGTAACATTACTGAAACACTATTAGATCATTACTGAAACACTATTAGATCATTACTGAAACACTATTAGAACATTACTGAAACACTATTAGATCATTACTGAAACACTATTAGAACATTACTGAAACACTATTAGATCATTACTGTAACATTACTGAAACACTATTAGATCATTACTGAAACACTATTGTAACATTACTGAAACACTATTGTAACATTACTGAAACACTATTAGATCATTACTGAAACACTATTGTAACATTACTGAAACACTATTGTAACATTACTGAAACACTATTAGATCATTACTGAAACGCTATTGTAACATTACTGAAACACTATTAGATCATTACTGTAACATTACTGAAACACTATTAGATCATTACTGAAACACTATTGTAACATTACTGAAACACTATTAGATCATTACTGTAACATTACTGAAACACTATTAGAACATTACGGTAACATTACTGAAACACTATTAGAACATTATTGTAACATTACTGAAACACTATTGTAACATTACGGTAACATTACTGAAACACTATTAGATCATTACTGTAACATTACTGAAACACTATTAGAACATTACTGAAACACTATTAGATCATTACCGTAACATTACTGAAACACTATTAGATCATTACTGTAACATTACTGAAACACTATTAGATCATTACTGTAACATTACTGAAACACTATTGTAACATTACGGTAACATTACTGAAACACTATTAGAACATTACGGTAACATTACTGAAACACTATTAGAACATTATTGTAACATTACTGAAACACTATTGTAACATTACGGTAACATTACTGAAACACTATTAGAACATTACGGTAACATTACTGAAACACTATTAGAACATTATTGTAACATTACTGAAACACTATTGTAACATTACGGTAACATTACTGAAACACTATTAGATCATTACTGTAACATTACTGAAACACTATTAGAACATTACTGAAACACTATTAGATCATTACTGTAACATTACTGAAACACTATTAGATCATTACTGTAACATTACTGAAACACTATTAGAACATTATTGTAACATTGCTGAAACACTATTGTAACATTACGGTAACATTACTGAAACACTATTGTAACATTACTGAAACACTATTAGAACATTACTGAAACACTATTGTAACATTACGGTAACATTACTGAAACACTATTAGAACATTACTGAAACACTATTAGATCATTACTGAAACACTATTGTAACATTACGGTAACATTACTGAAACACTATTAGATCATTACTGTAACATTACGGTAACATTACTGAAACACTATTAGATCATTACTGTAACACTATTGTAACATTACTGAAACACTATTGTAACATTACGGTAACATTACTGAAACACTATTGTAACATTACTGAAACACTATTAGATCATTACTGTAACACTATTGTAACATTACTGAAACACTATTAGAACATTACTGTAACATTACTGAAACACTATTGTAACATTACGGTAACATTACTGAAACACTATTAGAACATTACGGTAACATTACTGAAACACTATTGAAGTGCTACTGAAACTGAAATGCTCTCTGAGTGACTCAGCATGAGTCTCTGGAGTTGCTCCTGGAGCGCGTGAGCACATCGTCGCGGGATGTCGACCAGCACTGAGCTGCCGTTGCGCTGCCCGACCTGTGGAGAGGCGTGTGGGTTCGGAGAGCGCCTTTCCAGCATCCACTCCTGCCAGAAGTTCTGTCTGAACACCAGACGAAGCTCTGAGGGGGGGCTGATGTCCCTCGCCCAGCGAGAGAGAGAGATGCCTCA